TCGACCTGTGAGTATCAGATTCTCCAGGCCAACTTTTTCCATTACGTATCCCCGATAACTTCACCTACCTCTTCCTGATGTTCAGTATAAGCCTCCTCCTTGTTTGTATCCTCTCCAAGACATCATCGTGGCTCACACTGTCGGTCCTTGATATTCTTAGCATCCTTCTGTATAAACACATCACCTCGAGTCTCTTCTGCATCTTTGAGTAGACCGTCCAACATTCGTTGCCGTCACGTAACAGGTCAGTACTCTTTTCTTTGTGACCAAAGAAACCTTCCTGTCTCGTAATACTCTACCCAACTTTTGGAATGTGTCCTTCGACATCCCAATACATCTACGGATCTCAGTGTCGCACTTACCATCCTCTGTCAAAACACTTACAAGATATGTAAACTTCTGATTACTGATATGAAATAACCGTGAAAATAATAATCATATACCATAATTCATCATCAAGTTAGGCAATACAATTGCAAATTAGCCAAAATAATTTTGTAAACGAATTATCTCCTGTAGTGAATTGGCTATGGAGTACTTACAACTAATGACCTTATACCAGACTTACAATAAATTAATACTATAGCTTACTAAGAAAAAAAAGCCTGTTAAAACTGGATTGTCACTCGCTACTGTGGAACTCAAAGTAAATATACTAATATGTATCATTTTCTGTCATAAGCATCTTAACTGAACGAGGGACATTATATTAGACATATTCTCAGTGGGAATTCGATATTCTGGATATATCTACATTTGAAATTCGATTTTGGCCACCGGTGGGAAATGTACCTCAAAACAACAGGCCTTAATATAATTGACAATCACCAAAACTGAAATTAATGTTGCACAACGACTGCCAGTTGTGTTACCCGGTAATGATCTAACTCATTTTCAGAAGTAATGGATTGCAACTCTAAATCATGAGATAACCGGTGATCCACAACCAGGCTTCTTCCATCTATCTATCTATCTATCTATCTATCTATCTATCTATCTATCTATCTATTAAGGAATAATACAATAGGAAGACTAGTTTTAGCTGACGCGTTTCGTCCAAAACATTGGAATTTATTATGTTTTGAAACAAAGTATCTATAAACAACAAACAAAATGTCGTTAGCAACTAGAAGAATTTAGAAACGCTGTTGAATGCTCAAATGAAATATTACGTCAATTACTCAATGTCTGTAGAGAATATTTTCACGTGTAGAAATATTGTCGGTATTGTTGTGTTAACGGATTCAACCGTTTTCTTTTGATTTCTTGATATATTTGCTGTGAGAGTAATGATTCTGTTAGTTATGTAGATATAGGATTAATTCTGAGAAATATTTACATTATCTATCTATCTAGCTAGCTAGCTAGCTAGCTAGCTAGCTCAGTCCATTCCTATCTGTCTGTCTGACTCTCTGTCTGTCAGTCAATCTATCTATCTATCTATCTATCTATCTATCTATCTATCTATCTATCTATCTATCTATCTCAGTCTGTTCCTGTTTGTCTGCCTGTCTCTGTATCTATTTATCTATCTACATGTCTCAGTTTCCAGGCATTTCTACATTTTTAATTTCAAGTTTAGTTCCTGATGTGATCTGAATTTGTTCATCTTGAAATGTAATTATACGATATAACTAGTTTAAGTACATGTTAATCTATTAATAAATCCAAGTATTCTAAGCTATAGGTAAATAGCAGGACATACCGGATTCTATAGCTTTGGATGGCTACTGATCTACCGCAGAAAGAAATGGCAACCTACTGCGGGAAAAATCTGCCTCGTCAGTCATTTATCGAAAGATACATGATCGAATAAACGTGTACCAATGCATGGCACATATCTGATTGACTTATTGGGATTATATACCTTATTAATAAATTTATCTGTCTTAGTTTTTTGCCGATATGAATCTGTTTTTATAGACGTATCTATTAATATTTAACGAGATATCTATCTATCTATCTATCTATCTATCTATCTATCTATCTATCTATCTATCTCACTATTTAATCTATCTATCTATCTATCTATCTATCTATCTATCTATCTATCTATCTGTTACAGTTTTAAAGCTCCGGGTAACTCAGTTTTTTCATATATATATATATATATATATAATTCCTATTTATGTGGCTATTTCAATATGTTTATAGCAACAGGTCAATGTTTCCGTTTCTTTATATCTGTGGGTACAAAGGAAAAAAATGTGTGGTCGGTAGGACGAGGGACAATCCAAGATGAGAATTACGAATTCGAGACGTAAAATGAAGCAAATGCAGATATTAAACTATTTGGGAAATATTATAATAGACAGCAGAATATGTAACAGAAAAATCCGAAGGCACATAGGAATATTGAAAAATGTCTTCCAAATGCAACATAAAATATCACTCAACGTGCTAATTTCGTTAGCAACAAAGATAAGAGAGCTGGACTTCTATGTAATAGCAGTCTACATTTATGGTAATGAATGTTGCAAATATTCTTCGAAGATGAAGATTTTTGAAACAAAAGAGATTTAGTTCTACAGAAGAATTCTGAGAATAACATGGGCGGGGCATTTGAGTAAAGTGGATGTTTTACGAAAAATGGTGACAAAAGGAACACCTGCATAAGAAAGACATCTACCTATCTATCTATTTTAGTCTGCTCACATCTATGTATGTATGTATGTATGTATGTATCTAGCTATCTATCTTTTTATCTATCTTAGTCTACTCAAATCTATGTATGTATCTTAGTCTGCTCATATGTATCTATCTATCTATCTATCTATCTATCTATCTATCTATCTATCTGTTTTAATCAGCTCACTTCTATCTATCTATCTAAGTCTACTCAAATCTATGTATGTATCTTAGTCTGCTCATATCTATCTATCTATCTATCTATCTATCTATCTATCTATCTATCTATCTATCTAAGTCTACTCAAATCCATGTATGTATGTTAGTCTGGTATCTATTTTAATCTGCTCACTTCCATCTATCTATCTATCTATCTATCTATCTATCTATCTATCTATCTATCTATCTACCTATCTATCTATCTATCTACGTCTACTCAAATCTATGTATGTATGCATCTTATTCTCCTCATATCTATCTATCTATCTATTTTAATCTGCTCACTTCTATCTATCTATCTATCTATCTATCATATCCATTAAAATTGCTGCGACGCATAGTGAGGTAAGAGGTCTTTGGGAGACTGACTCGCATAGGACATATTGTATGCAACAGGGGCAGATGAATTTAACCTAACTAATAAGCAAATGCATAGCCGACCTTGGACTGGGAGGGATAGGAAAAGGACGAACATAGTTTAGAGAAAGTAGAGGATATTTTTGTAGAAGCCTGATCGTCAGCGTCCTGAAGGGAGAGAGTGCATAAAATAAGAAAATGTATGCATGCATCTATCTATTTTTCGACTTCATATTTATGCCTTAATCTGTTCGTTTCTAAGTTTGTTCGCAACATCTTTGGATTTATCTTAGCGTGTTCAGATCTGTCTGTCAAGATTTGATCGTATCAAAGGTTAGTTTTTTTTTTTAAGTCTCTGTCAGTTGTTTCACTCTGGATATATTTATTTATAGATCGATGTTTCACACTATCTGCCTGTCAGTTTTTGAATTGTTTTCTTTCTTTTTTTTTCTCTCTTTTGTGTCTTCACTTTTCGTCTCTATTGATTTTACATACGCGGTTCATTTTGTCATTAAATCAAATATAACCAAATCAAATAAGGCGTTAAAAATAACCTTGAGAGAGCACAAACGTGTAATATATCTTTTATTTTAATCCAGTTATCAAAACTTTCGGGCTTTGCATTCTTGAGTTTCTTTAATTTTCCTGTTGTTCACACCTTTTTTTTTCTCTCTCTCTCCTTTTGACTCGTTTATCTTTTGTATTCTCTCATCAAATCTTTTCTTTATTTTCGATTTCATGAACGACTTCAATTCTTTGATCTTGCCTTCGTAATCTTCGGTATTACCGAATTATCCCGTCACCAATCTATTTCCGATGGCATCGCAATGCGCTACTGATCAGCCTAATCGAAACGCCTTATCTTTTATTACCAGCGAGATGCACCGAGTTACCCGGTGACGTCATCTTCTTCGCACTTCATCACTTCTCGTTGTGCCCTCGAGATCAGGACGAGATCGTCTTATCTAATTCGAATAACAACAAAAGGAAAAACTGATATTATAAAAATAAAACAAGAGAGATAGACATAATAATCATGTCATGAAAAAAGGGGGTAATTCACACAAAAGAGAATTGATGTTAATTGAGAAAAGGTAGAAGAATTTACCTGAGGAAACGAAAAGTTTTTGTTTCCATCTTGTTGCGATTTCTGGAATGTTCGTCAATAATTTATACCTGCCGTTCCGAATCGCCTCATTCCATTGAAGTAGTTTTCCATTTCATCTCTTCATATTTCTTTTCTGAAAATTCCTCCCTCCACCATCATCACTTTCTACTTTGCATTCCTTCGTTCACTCATTCGTGATTTCCTTTATAACATATTCATTTGTTTCATTATTCCAATTCTGTCAATCATTTTTTTCTTCTTTATTTTCATTCATACTTTCCTACTACCGTTTTTAATTTTTTGGGGGATTTTTTTTCCCTATTATCGGCGTTGTATTCTTTTTTTCTTTCTATTTTCGTTCTTTTTTTCCATTTCAGTTCAATCCATTTAAAAGTTTCTATTTTTTTCCATACCTCTCTTTGTCAATCAGATTTTTATCTTTTTCTCATATGAATTTCTTCCTCTCTCTTTCCTTCCTCTATCCTTTTTCATAATGTTCCACTTCTTTGTGGCCATTTTTCTTTTATTTTATTCATAATTCTATCATTTTTTTCTTTCTTCTTTTCCGTCTTATGAAGTTCCTTTTGTTCTAATTTTGCTTTTATTTTGTCTTCTGCTTTTTTTCCATTTAGAGAAAAAAAGTTCGTACAATTTTCAATGTCTTTCTTTTTTCTTGTATTTGATTTGTATGTTTCTTAATCTTTTACTATTTTTTTTTTTACCTCGCCTTATCTTTTACAATTGCCTTTCTTTTTGTCATTTTTCCTTTATTTCTTTTTCTACTCTCTTCCCTCTCTATCTCATTATTATTTTCAGGTATATTTCTCCTTCATTTTCATTCTCAGTTTATATTTTGCATTCTTTTTTTCTTCTGGCTAGTACGTTCTAATTTCTTTTTTCCCTAATTCTTTTTTTTTTTTTTTAATATTTTCCCTCCTCTTATTATATTTTCTTTATTTTTATATTTTTTCTTTTACTTCCCTTTTTTTTAACACTTTCTTCTAACTTTTCCCTTCTTTCTTTTCTTTTCTTTTTTGCACTTTCATCTTTTTTTCTTATCTTTAAATCCCTCAAGATTTTGGATTCTTTCCCGTACAGCCATCCCGTTTTTTATTCGTATAATTTGGCATTTTTTTATTTATTTCTTTTCTTTCCTACAGCATTTTGCTTTTTTCCTTGATTTCGTGTTTACTGTCTTTCTACTTTTAATTTCTTTTTCTTCGTTCTTACGTTTTCATTCTTCTTTTTTTTTAATTTCATTTGCCTTTTTCTTTTCATTGTTTTTATTTCCTTCTTATTCTTTTAATTTCTCTTTTTCTTTTCCCGTCTTTCTTTCATTCGCTTTATGGGCTTTTCAGTTTTATCGGTATATTTTCTTATACGACATCAATCTCAAAATTTCTAACGCAGGCCTGAGGAAAAATTCATTTGTCTCTGGCAAACGATTCGAAAGGGCCTGCAACAATTATTGAAAACTTTCTAAAATCTTTGTTCATGAACTCAATGATGATAATTTTCTGACAGGTTTATTTTTGGTGTTTGCTTGACCTTTATTATCTTTGCTCTTAATCTTTTTATCTTCTCATGGATTATTTTTGCAGACTGTCGGAGTTACCGCCTCCTTAATTCCCAAATTGTCACCAGGGTTCTTTCTACACATACTATAAATACTGGGCGACTGATTGCATCGAACTTTTTCCTTCGGGCCTCGTGCCGCATCCCACCTCGCGTGGAGGTGAGGTAATTCTTTCTCTTCTTTCTTCATTTCAGCTACTATGTGAGCTCTCACAAAAGACAGAGTTTTCCCATTTTTGGGACAACGCTATGAACATTACAAATATACACGTTCATTCACCAAAATACGAACATTCTTCAAAGATTCATATTCACACACACACACACACACACACACACACACACACACACACACACACACACATGTTAACTGTTTATGTGCTTTGTAATTTCTTGGTAATACATATATTTTATATATATATATATATATATATATATATCGGTCTTGTTTGTTTGTCTTCTTTATCTTCAGTTGGACTTAATTCAAGTCCGACATTTTCTTGTTTCTGGACTTTCTTCTAGCAGGAAATATAAACGAACGTGTTTTCTTTTCATCGTCACCCCGCCGTCCTGTACAAGACGATTAATAAAAATTAATTTCTGTTTTAGATTCATGCCTTTCTTTCATTCACTTTGATTTCTTTAATTGTTACTTTTTAATTCGATATTTCATTCTATTCATTGCATAAGTTCGATGCAAAAAAGTTCGAATTTGCTTTATACGTGACTGTCTTTTATGCGATCTCTCTGTTTTAATGTCGTTCTATTTCTTTCTCTATCTATTGACGACGTCTGTTTTGGTTCGGGAATTAATTACTTTTTTTTATTTTTTTTATTTACTTGTACTGCAGTCAGTCATTTTGATTTCTGTTCAATTCATTCTTCGGTTTAGTTTCGAATTGAGAGAATGTCAATAAACTCATTCTCAAAGTTTTTCGTTAATTCTTTGTTTCTTTCTTTTATCAGTTCCATTTTTTTCATTTCAAATTTGATTCTATTCTATTTTCAGTTTTATTTTTAAACTTAGACGTTAACAACCTTTCTTTTACGTTTATTTCCATTTTCTTTTTTCTGTTTTTCTTTCGAGGTTCAAATTTATTTATTTCTCTCTCTCTCTCTCTCTCTCTTTCTCTCTAACTTGAATATAATTAATCCTATTACACTTTTATTCCTCTTTTCTTCAATTTCCCTTGATACACTCTCTTTCTTTCTTTCGTTTTTTCTTACATTTTTCATTTCATTCTTTCTTTCTTTCTTGCGTTTTTTCTTGGATTTTTTATTTCTTTCTTTCTTTCTTTCTTTCTTTCTTTCTTTCTTTCTTTCTCCTGTTGCCGTTTACTGTCTAAGAGCAAAGTTACTGAAATTTTTTTTAATATGTTCAGTATTTTATTTGCTATCAAAATATAATCACGCCGATTGATGTCAAACAATTATACAAATTAAACAAATAAAAGACTCGGAAAAGAAGAGAAAAAAAGAAAAAGGAATGAAAAGAAGCAAAAAAAAAAAGAGAAGAAAACAAGAGAAGGAAAGAATCAATTTCAATTTTGATTACTCAGAGCCGCGATTGCCTTCGAAGTTTTCTAATTTTCCATAATATTAAAATACGTATGCATATGTGGAGTAATGCGTTTCGAAAACGGCAAACTCAATTTGAATCAGGAGAAGGAAATTAAGAACCAGATATCGACTGAAACAGGCGCAAACTAGATATACAGGCTGATTTTCTCCGTGAAAATATATTAATTTAACTGAGGCGCGCGCACACACACACACACACACACACACACACACACACACACACATATATATATATATATATATATATATATATATATATATATATAGGTAAATATGTGTTTGGTAATCCGTATGGATAATTACTGGGAATATATAATCCAGGGACCTCAATGTAAAAACAGAGCAAATATTAATCATATTAAGAAACAGACAACGTTAAGGGTTCATGGCGATTATACTTTATTTGCTTAGAATCGAAATTCGATTCTAATTCCTCAGACCAACATTTTCATACAAATAAATGGATGACAAATATTTGTAAGAAAATGTCGATGAATTCGAATAGAATTTCGATTCTTAGGAAATAAATTATAATCCTTAATTTTCTCGGTTTCTTAATATAATTAATTTATATATATATATATATATTAATATAAAACGTCTTATTAGTTGAATATTTGTTTCGATAATAAAATGTGGGATGGACGATTATCGCATACTGTTACACGATTTGGACAATTTTGGTCTTTAAACAGGTACAATATCTTCAAAACTTTTGGTATTTCTTAGTATATATATATATATATATATATATATATATATATATATATTGAATTGGGTACATTTGGGAACGTCGATACCTATGCTAGCACAAAGTCACAAGATATCGAGGGTTTGACTGTGTTGTCCTTGTGCAGATTGTTGATCATGCTGGATAGCACGCTCTTTCCTAGAATCTGTAACAAAAGTCTTCTCAGCATAGTTGCAGCATAAACCACAGGTTGGCTATGTGTGTCTTGAACGAATGCAAATGTGCCTGAGCGAGACTCTGCAATAGGGATTAATTAGCTGGCCTAGTAGCCAGGTATCCTCGTTATAATGAGTAGCCAGCTATTATATATATATATATATATATATATATATATATATATATATATATATATATTTAATTATAATTATTTTTTAAATATGATTCCTTTGCTACATAAGAGTTCTCATGTTTCTAAAACGAGAGCCGAAACCATCAATATAATTATTAAAATTAAATTGAATTAAAGTAATAAGACCTGTTTCATCCTCAAAGGAAAATTTAGGAATCTTAAATTTAGGAATTCCTAAATTTTTACTTGAGGATGAAATAGGGCTTTTTACTTTAATTCAATTTAATTTTGATAATTATATTGATGGTTTCGGTTCTCATTTTTGAAACATGAGAACTGTATATAGCGAAGGAATCATATTTTTAAAAAGATAATTATAATTTAAGCTCTACATCAGTAGGGAGCACTGCTTTTTGTTTTTTGTTTTTTATAATAAAAACAAAAATACTAAAGAACCCTGGATTATTTACCTAACTTGTTCTTTCCTATTTTTCTACATACCTGCACACACACACACACACACACACACACACACACACATATATATATATATATATATATATATATATATATATATATATATATATATATATATTTAAAAAAAGATTCTTTGTTATTAGCTCATATGGTTATTGTGGCAGTATTTTTTGCTTGTTATTTCATGTAATACACGACGTAAGAGAAATGGGTCGGTAGTGGGTGATTGAGAGAATTTGCTGTAAGTTTGATTGAAATAGGAAGCAAGAAAAGAATATTAATATATTTGTAGGGTAGATATCATTTGACGCTAGATTTAGGTCGACCAATGAGACCATCTCTAGTGAGTTTGTCCCACACAGTAAATCCTGAAGAAGTTGACTGAGTGAAACTTGTTCCTTACGAAAGGTACATGGGCATAGGGTGGCTTACCAGCGTGAACATGACATGGTGTGTCCTGGATATGAAAGCCTGTGCTGGTGGAACGATGGTATTACCGAACATCCGTACATCTACCATAGTAGTAGCCATTAATATAGTCAGAAGCTAGCAACGATTCGTTTGTAGGATAGGAGTTGCTGGCTGGAGAATCACCAACAAGGCGGCATAAGGACTTTTAAACTCTTCCAAGGATGGACAGCGAAGATTGGGTAGCAACAGAGCAGATATGGCAGCAATACACCATTCTTTGTCGGATGTGACTTTTATAAATATCGAGCATAGAATTGAGTGTTAGGTATTTTCTAGATCGATTCAATTAACCAACCATTATTGTGAGATGACACTGATATACGCAATGTAACAGCAATAATGTCCAAATCGTGTGATAGCGAAATGGGCCAATTGTTAGATTAAGCTTTGGATCTTTTTATTTTAGAAATGATTAAAGATATCTTACTGGAATTCTCTCTGAGATTTTTAGAACGCTACTGAACTCTACTTTGAACATTAAGAATGTATAATTACACCACAATCTTAACAGAAGTATCATGACGAAATCGATCATTAATGAAAATGACATGTTCATCATTAACTAATCATCTTATGCTCATGAAGGATTGAAACAAAATTTATATACATACATACATGCACACACACACACATACATACATATATATATATATATATATATATATATATATATATATATTAAGTTGAGTTATATTTATGGGATAATGTGGTCAATATCAGAGATAGAGCACATGTAAATATAAAAGTGAGCATTGAATTCAACACTCAGAGGCGACAGACTGTTTCATTCTAGGTGCATTCGCCAGGCCTGACGATTTTATCTCTAAGTGTTGACTTCAATCTTCACTTTATATATATATATATATATATATATATATATATATATATATATATATATATATAAAGACAGTGGGTGTGACACAAAACGATTTTCGACTGTTCTCTTTCTGAATAACCCAAAGGGTTTTCGCTGAACAACTCAGAGTATTTCAGTGATTCTTACAAAAATGAAAACCTGGGAAAAAAGATGAATTAGTTTAGTGTTTATTTTGATAATAAACATGTTGTGGGATGGGCATTTATCGCATGCAGTTACGCGATTTGGACAATTTTGCTCGTTAACCAAGTATAAGTTTGCTAATGACATAAAGGAAGGCGATGGGTCAATCCTCTGACGGAGACGATGCACACAGAACATACGAGATACTTTGCATCGGCTTTTGAAACATTTTTCTCAAGACAGCGGTGAGACCGTTCCGCCGAGATTGGAGACAATTCTGGGTCAAGATTTTGAGGGCAACAACAGCGATTTTATCCGCATCAACAGC